TAAATATGGTTAAATTGCAACCTCTCTCCCCCGCACAGAAGAGCTCAGCAAGATTGCGACTCGTCGAGGAGGACGAGGACGAGGATGAGGACGAGAAAGTGATTTCAGGTCTATTTTTGTGTTACAAAATGTTTATTGCTCCCGTTTATGATTTGCTTGAGGAGCCTGAAGTCATTATCGTTCCTGAACGCAGTTTGTACAAAGTTCCCTTTGCTGCACTGAGTGAAAAGGAGGGAGCCCAATACCTCTCGGAGACTCATAGAATCCGTGTCATTCCTTCTTTGACAACACTCAAGATTATTCAAGATAGCCCAGAGGACTATCACAGCAACACTGGTGCCTTGATAATAGGCAACCCTAAGGTTAATTGGCTGCCACCATTGCCAAGTGCAAGAAAGGAAGCGGAGATGGTCGGACGACTGGTGGGTGTTCTGCCTCTGGTAGGAGAAGAAGCAACGAAGCAGGCGGTGCTTGAGCGGATAAGTTCAGTGAGCCTGATTCATTTTGCTGCCCATGGTGACGCCGAAAGGGGAGAAATTGCCCTCTCCCCCATCCCTAGTACTTCCAACAGGCGAAACGCTATCTTACCACATGAAGATTACATGTTGACGATGGCTGATGTATCACGAGTGAAAGTCAGAGCTAAACTGGTAGTACTTAGCTGCTGTCACAGTGGAAGAGGTGACATTAGAGCCGAGGGAGTTATAGGAATTGCCCGTGCGTTCTTAGGATCCGGTGCTCGCTCGGTGTTGGTTGCGCTGTGGGCCATTTCAGACTCAGGAACAGAGCAGCTGATGAGTCGGTTCTACGAACACCTTGTAGAGGGAGAAAGTGCCAGTGAATCCCTCCATCAGGCCATGAAGTGGATGAGAAAAAGCAAGTCTACCAGTGTGTCTGAGTGGGCTTCGTTTACGCTGATTGGAGATGATGTGAGACTCGGGTTTGACAAGCAGAGGTAAGACTCAGTCCGAAAAGATATTTCACAAATTAAAGTCTAAGTAGATGTGAAGGTAGCTGTGGTTTACTGGTCGCTGACTGTCGGCGGGGATCCTTTGTTACGTTAAAGATCAAGGCTATTTCGATACATTCATATATATATATATATTATTTTTTTTTTCTCTTCGGAGAGTGACTATCGACGCTCTCTGGTGTAAATATAGAATCTCGAAAGGGCCTCTCTGCCACATACAAGTGTCAGCCATTTACATTTTTAAATATTAAGCTTGGTATAATTGTACTTACTTTATATCCAAAATATTAATCGAGTTAATAATAAATTGCTGTTTTTTTTTCACTTTTTTTACAGAGAAAAAGACCCCGACAGAGTAAATAAAGAGAATCACTCGAAGGAAACAGAGCCAAAAGACTTTTAGATGCATAAATTGAATAGAGCAAAGTAGAGAACATACTTTATCTGGTATTTCATTAAAATTAAAAAAAGGAGCTATCCCAAATTAGATCTAGTTCAATTTTTTGTGCTTTCGTTTTCAATATTGTTAAAAGACGAAATTTGTATCTATCCAGTGTTTTTTTTTTTACTTATTTAAACGTTGGAAATGAATGGAAATAGTATATTAGCATAAGCCATTCAGTAAAAATTATAATAAGCCAGTTGATCATTTCTTATTCCTTTTGGCGGTCTTATCTTACAGGTATAATTTAGCACGCTCGACACCTCTTTTTCTTAGAGGTGACTTAAGGTGTAAACAAGTAGTACTTTTCATCCTCCGCACTGAATTTATAATCAGGTAATTTATACGAATAGCACGTAGTCTTTTAGGGGCAGTACCTTGGGTACGCCCTTTCTTCTCAAATTTTCTGTTTATTGTGCTGTTATGTAACAGTCTTCGAGAAGTATTTCCTCTTAAAATATATTTTCAAGTATGATTCTAATTCTGTTGATAATTTCATTACAATTTTTATATTATCAATCTTGTTTTAGTTATGACCAACATTGACTGTAAGACTAAGAAATTTAAGGATTTTGTAAAGCGTAAACATCTCGAAGGTATCTACTTAGTATGCGAACTCCACTCTGCGTAGCTTAACGTGATTCGCTAGTTAAGTGTAAAAGGATGACGAAGGTTAGAGATTGGCAGCTCAGTAAGCGTCCCTTTTATAAGTGGAGACCCACACTTTTCTTGTTAGATCTGAGTTAGTCCCGAGGTAATAAGTTGTATGTAAGAAAGAGAAGAATAAAGAAACCTTCAACTGAACAACGCAAAAATTATATTTCCAATATCACAAGCACAGAAAAACGTTGACGTAAGTAAGGCTTTAAAGTAAAGCGAAATCAGTAAAGTTAAAACAGTAGTTTAGATATAAAACGAACCACTACAATCTGATTAAATTTTTTTTTCAAAGCCTTTTGTAAGGTTTAGTTAACAAAATCTTCAATATTTGAGGAATAAATTTGATGTAGCATCTTAAAAGATCCTTGTCAACCACTCCTCTTCCAAAATATATCCTGATCAAAACTAATCTATGAAGACAGAAGTTTAAAATCGCTTCCGGATGTCATGCAGGCTCGTCAATACTTCAAGAGTGTTATGTTAGATTTTTTTTGCAAATTGTAGTGATTTATGCCAGTTAACGGTGGCGACAAGAAGGCGCACCATGTACATTTCATAGTCGTTATCAAGTAAATTTTACCGGACTTTGAGTTCGTCTCAAGATAGAACAACGCAAATACACAAGGAAATTTTTAGTAACTTTATAACCATCCTTTGGTCTTATGAAAGCTTGAAGCTCAGTAGATTGTGTCATATCGGTCATTGTTAAAACTGTCTTTGTTTTGATGCTACTTTCGACATAGGAAAAGTATGTCGGACAAAAATATTCACCAAAAAATAAATATTTCTTTGGCAGCTTCAATAACGACAGGGGTTAAGTTTAGATGATAAAACAAAGGATTATGTTCACAGAAATACCGTAGGTCTGGTACATTCGATACATGAGGTCACACAACTCGGGTAATATTCACGGTGAAAATTTGTATATTTGAGCGGTCGAACAAAAAAAATTATTTCTCGAAAACTAAAATATATTTTTGCAAAAAAACTACACAATTATTAGAACATATTGGGCTACAAAATACAAAAGTAGGAGGGAAAACAAATTTGGGTGACTTGCCGCTGTTTGTTTGATGCATGCTGACATTAGCTCTTAAATGTGAATGACGCTATATGTTTAAAACTTTTAAACGGCGTTTCTTTCCCTACAAACCATCATCAACAGCCAGTAGTCGCGTATCCTTTTTAGCGGCCCACCAACAATTCCTTTTTTTCCACTTCAAGAACGAAATCAAAACTTAAACCACAATTTTTTTGGACACGATTTATCATCGACACCACGCACGTTCTTTTAGGGTGGACGCAACTTGGTAATGGCACGACATCTTTTGATGTTTTATTTTCATGATTACTTTCTGTCGACTGTTTTTCGAAATAATTTCACATACGCTTTAATTTTTCAGTACATTAAAACGCAAAATTAAGTTGACTTGGTCGTAAATTTACATACGACTACCGAATTCGCGAACATGTTCATTTCATGCACGAACTAACTCATAAATGACTGTGTAAAATATATAACAAATTAACGCCGCAAAGAGGTATTTGCACTTAAAATTTTAAGTGCTTTTGAGATTTTTTTTCAACCAGAAAATAACGTTATTTACAAATGCCCCTTCTTTTTGTATCGAGGTAGGAACTCACAACTTTTCTTTGATGAACAAGAATCGGTCAGTGGAATGTAAATACGTTTTTATGGGTATAATATTATGTTTGATTAAAACATCTAATGCACTTGGCTTGATTACATCTAAAATTATAAAAAGAAGGCTGCACAAGATTATCTTAAAGTACAAACTAGTTTATTGCTTGCCTCATCAACTATTTCTTCTGAGTAAATTGTAAAAAAAAAATTGGGTTATTGTTATTGATAGTCATCATGAATGCAAAATCGTGCGTTTTCCTTATAAACTCCTCAGGGCAAATAGTCTCATCAGCTGTCAAAACATCAATACTGTTACAAAACCTTTATTAATTAGATGACATGGATGATTGAGTTTAAAAATAAATTACCACGAGTTTTATCCTGTTTCTTTGAAGACTTTAAACATTTAAAAGCATATTTATCGGCCGGTAGTATTGCAACTTGGATCTCGACAAAAGGATCGACAGAAAATTCCATTTTAGCCATCGATCAATTCAGGATCTTTACACTGGAATGATGTTGTTTCATTTGATGATCTTTTATTTCGTTTTCTTCTCGACCTCAGGGTATTATTAACTTTTACATCACTGGATGAATTTTTAAGTTTACCTTAGAGTTTTGGCTGCCCATGCATACATCCTACTCAAGAAATCTTTAGAACCGAAAAATACTTTTTATTTTTCTTTTAGAGTTTCTACTTTGTCGATTAATTTATTTGGAGATTTATATTTATATATAATATTTTTATATAACTAAGTCTTGAATTGCAATAGACCCAGCACCAATCTGTGATCCAACAAAATAATTGGGCTGGAGTTATACTTCTGAGAAAAATAGGGGATTAGATACCCTTAATTTTATTCTTTCGCCCGAAATTAACCAGCGTTCAGTGATATATATACAGTCAGAAAATCATTTATGAGCAAATTTGACAGGAATGCCCTCTGGCTACATTTCTATCTTGTTTTTATAGACTTCATAGGATTGTCCAAAGACTTAGCAGTGCTGAACTGTAAGGTGCTCAAAGAGAAGTCCCCTTACGCCGTGTCAGGCGTCTATTGGATAGATCCTGATGGCGGTTCCCGTAGTAACGCTTTCCAGGTCTACTGCGACCAGCAAACAGACGGAGGGGGTGGACGCTAGTTTACAGTTACACTTTCACTACCTACTCAAGCTTCTGGACCGGCCGAAACGCTGTCACTCCGCGCCCATCTTGGTCAGCTAGCGGCGCTAACGTTCGAGTGTCTAAAACAGTTCCACTGAGCGAGACGCAGTATGAGGCCATGGACTTTTCTTTGTGGCGCAGCATTGGCAAGGAATTCCTGATCAAGAGCAAGATCGACAACTGGATTGCATGCAAGGAAGGTTCTGGTAGCATAGTGCAACACAAGAAGGGGTCACTTTCTTGTAAACTGGTGAAGCAGGTTTCTAATCAGTGCACTGGAACGGTACCAAAATCTATGAGTCTTCCCAGTCGCAGACCTCTCCTCACTGCTGGAAGTACTTATTACTACTTTGACGGGGACACAAGAATTAACTCACCAACTCATGATCCTTGTGGTAAAAATCGACCAAACCAGTTGAGAAACGTGCAAAACCCACATGGAAACATTTTTGTGCGCTGAGAACCTCACGTGAATCGTCTTAAGTTTTATTCTGTAAGCGGCTCAGAATTAAAGATGGGTTCTTGGGATATCAATGCCTGACTTTTCGAGAGCTGTAATTGTTTAAAAAAAAGTTGTAACCTTCACGCTCTCTAGCTGAGCATCTACCCGTGTTTTCGATTTCAGCTCATAAAGAGACAACCCTCGTAATGTGTTAATATTCTGTCCTAAAACACTCTCAAATAAAAATTTGGTCTTCGCCTCTCTTCACCACTCCCCCTCTTCCAGCAAGAATTTACGGCCCTCCCAAAAATGCATAAGAATCGTGAAGCTAACTCTACACCGCCATTTCGCTCCGTCGTATCTTCTATAGGAACATACAATTACAACCTGGCATCTCATCTCACATTCCAACTGATTACTGTGCCACTGACACTTTTACTTTTGTACAGGACATCCAATCGTTATCTATATCTCGTAAGTTTATGGTCTCTTTTGATGTTGAAAGTCTCTTTACTAACATACCTCTTGAGGAGTGTATTGACTTAGCGGTCAATTACATTTCCGACGGTAGTCCCGACATTAAGTTGAACAAATCTGAACTTAGAAGTCTCTTCATTGGAGTTACCGCCCAGACTCATTTCATATTTAATGGTTCTTTTTATGATCAAATAGATGGCGTAGCCATGGGTCCCCCATTGCCCCTGTCTTAGTCAATCTTTTTATGGGACATCACGAAAAACTTTGGTTGGAAAATTTTCATGGCTCTACAATTTTATTTTATCGCCAGTATGTTGATGATACTTTTTGCTTATTTAACCCAGATCGAGATGCCACTATATTTTTCGACTAAATCAACTCTAGGCACCCTAACATCAAGTTCACTATGGAAAAGCAGATTAATTACAAATTACCCTTTTTTGATGTCCTGATTGACAACCATGACCCCAATTCCCCTCTAACCAGGATTTACCACAAGAAAACTTTCACTGGGTTACTAACTAATTATTTCAGCTTCACCTCGTACTCTTACAAAGTGGGTCTCATTAAGACACTCGTCGATAGGGCCTACAAGATTAATAACACCTGGTTAGGGTTTTACGAGGACATTAATAATCTTACTGATATTCTAAAAAAGAATCTTTTCCCTGCTCATTTAATCGAGAAGATTATAAACCGTTACATCACTGGGACCCAAAACAATCATCATCCCCGGGATTCCCTTCCTACCACTTCACCTACGTTCTACTTTAAGCTACCCTACATAGGCCACTTCTCTGCTATCACTCAAAAAAAGATCTGCCATTTTATTAAGCGCTATTGCAATGACTTGGATATCAAACTGATTTTCTCTTCCTTCAAAATCGGTAACTTGTTTGGTGTGAAAGACCCTGTCCCTGACGGGCTCCGTTCACGTGTAGTTTATAAGTTTGTATGCGCTGGCTGTAATGCCTGTTACGTCGGTGAAACCTCTGCCGGCATTTTTCCACACGTGTTAGAGAGCACTAAGTCAGTGACAGGGCCTCTCACATTTTCAGGCATCTGAAAGATTCTCCACATTGTCGCGCTTTGTGTTCTACAGATAACTTCCATGTTTTAGATCACGCCTCCACCAGCTTTCAGCTTGAGATAAAAAAAGGCTATTCATAATCAAAGAGAACGACAATCTTTGAATCAGCAGTTACACTGAAGAAATGTAAAATGGTTTCCGTGTTTACATAGCCTGATGTAAACACGCGGAAGGTTGGGAGAACACGAAATAAGCGTAGGAAACCACAACGCGAAGCGGAGTGGTTTCCAGCTTCCAGCTTTCTACGCTTATCTAGTGTTCTCCCAACCTCCCGTGCGTTTACATCAGGCTATGTAAACACGGAAACCATTTTACATTTCTTTTATAAAATAACTAATGAAAGAGGAACGAAAACCGTGTTTACATGCGCTCATATAAAATGGTTATATGGCCAATCAGAGCGCGCGTATTATTTGAATTATTTTATAACATGTAAATCTAAAACTATCTTTTTAATTCTCACACTTTCATGCTTTACCTCTTTTCATGTTGTCACTATTCATCTTAATTAGCATTGTTCTACTTACTAAATAATTCAATTTTCAATGCTTTGTACATGTTTTACAGACTCAAAAGTTTTGTCGCTTTCTTTAAAACACAGTTATTTTTTAAATCAAAAAAATAATAATTATAACTCAACAACTCAAACATTTTCTGTTAAGTCTAGAAAGTAAGAGGATTGTTAAAAGTAATTTCCTTCAGAAATGGAGAATAGTTAAATTGTTTCCCAAAGACATCATTGTTTTCACTTTTCTTCAAAAAATGGGAGCTCTGATTCTCCAACATTTTCATTCGCGATACATAAGCACCAAAAAAGGGAGGGGGGAAAGGGAACTTTAGTACACCTTCAGAAGACAAACACTTCTTTTTTGGGGGGGGAGGCATTGCCCCATACTTTTCGGTAGTAAAAGTTTTCTCCTCTGAGAGTATATCACGCCCCGTCCACTACCACATGGGCCAAACTATGACGTCATCATTGGTTATCTCGTGACGTCACTAGATGTCGTAGAGGAAAAGGAGAAAACGCAGGATACTTAATGAGAATGTCTAAATAGGTACTATAACTATATCTTCTATCTTGTAAATCCTCCCTTCTCCCAAAAAAAAGCTACCCAATTGACTTCTTATTAGTTGTGTAACCTCTAGATCTTAAACTCATAGCTTGCCGAAATGGCTCTGGGTCTCTCTGAGAAGCGAAACAGCTTCACAATCTATGGCGGGACATTCATAGGTAGGATGTTTCAGTCTGTTGTAAAAGTTTATTGTGACATCCAGCTGTAACTTAGAATCCATTTAACTTCAAATAAACCTTCATGAGTTAGGACCGTTTTGGTTCCTTTCATATTGTGGAAGTTTATCAACGCTCAGCGAAAACAAAACAAAGGAAACTTTATTTCTTTAGCAGATCCTAACCCCTGTTTCTGAACATTTCTGTCCTTTTAGCTTGGCCTTTTTTCGAAACGGGACCTTGCGCTAAAGGTTTAATTAAAAATAATTAATGCTTGTTGGATAATAAGAAATGCATGGGTATTATCGATCACATCTGATTGCCAATGAGTTTTAAAAAAACTACTGGATAAGTAATCAGAAATGTGATTTTCAAATTTAAAGTTAAAATTTTTAATTTTGCACGCCATGTCTTAGATAAAGAAAAAGCCTTCCCGCTGTGGACCACGATAACAAAATCAAACTTATCAATTGAAAATTGTTCAATTTTAAAGGCCCATTTCCAACCTTGATGCAACGCGCGCCGCGACCTACTTTCCTGTAACGCGAAATTCCCAGATCACCGAAAACCTTCTAAAATCGTCTTTCTCAAGAGCCATCCTGGACACATAGTCAACTGTTTTACGGTAAATACATTCGCCGTTCGTCATTTCACAGTTTCTTTACAGTATTTTGAGTTTTGTCTGGAAGAATCCGAAGAAAATTTTTTTTAAGTGTCACGCTTGGATCTCTTCGTACTCAGTGAAAAGAGTCGGCGACAAGGACAACGTTCAAATTTGTTCACTTTCTAGAAGCGCTTGAGGATTCTAAATGAAGATAAAATATTTCCAATTGAAATTGGTATTTTTCAAAGAGAAATATGGAAAAATATAAGACTGCCGGACTGTGTACAAGGTCAGCGAAACAGATAACGTTGGCATTTTTTTCACTTTCTAGAAGCGCTTGAGGCTTGTAAATGAAGGTAGAATATTTTCCAACGAAAAATTGGTATATTTCAAAGAGAAACATGGAGTTATTTGAGGACCGTGTCCAGCCGTGTCATTGAAAAGTTTTTAAGAGTCAAGCGCTTGGATGGCTTCGCACTCTGTATACAGGGTTAGCGAGAAACATCAAGTTCGAAATTTTTAGGCTGCCTGGAAGCGCTTGAGGATTGTAAATAAAGGTAACACATTTTCGTATAAATGCTCTTTGGATTTCGAAGAGAAATATGGAAAAATATCGGACTGCCGAACGTTTAATTACTTTAAGTTTAGTCACTTCATTGCAGGAACGTCAGCGACACTGACAGTTTGCATTACAATTCTTATTTGCTGCTTTGCATGGACAACAACCTCGACCACTCTTTGGAGCGCAAATTCCTCTCCACGGACAGGAAACTTCAACTGACCATTGGTGGATCAACATTTTAACCCTCTTCGAAAGGATTTTCGCGTTCGTCTTTAGCAACAACCAATCCATAGGCGTTTACTGCCTCGGAATCTACTAAATCAATGGTTCATCTGATTCCATACCGGAGTAAAACGTATAGAACTGTTTTAAACAGAATTATTTTGATAAGCTCTTCAAATTCATCGGAGAAAACACCGAAGGTATTTTGAGACGTGACATGGTTAAAATAACTGACCAATCAGAGGCGCTATTTAAACAAAGGCGGTGGTTCAAAACAAAAACAAACGACCTCGTTGCATCAAGGTTGGAAATGGGCCTTTAAGCTAGTTAGTGAATTTTTCGAAGAATTACAGCCTGTATGTTTGTTTTCTAATTAAATTAATTACTGTTGTAAAAATGACCCATCTAAGCATCTAAATCTTTTTAGAAACCTCACAACGTACAATTTTAGGCAGAAGCTTAACTAATGTAAGCTCGTCTCAAGCTATTGGACAATTCGGTATGTAGGAAGCTCGTGGTTGAATTTTTCAAATTTCGATTACCACATTAATTCGATGATTTCATCAGGGCGCTTTAAAGTGTTGGACCTTGACAATGGGTGTTTATTCATGGCTGGGCACTCATTGAATTTTTGCCATTTTCGATAAAAGATGCACCATAGACGATGTTACCATTTAGAAATAGTAAGCCTGTAAAGGAATGATAATCGATACTTCTCATCTACAGGAGCTTATTCGAGGCTAAGCGCTTATAAAATTTTCCTTCCTACAGGATGGGCACTTTTTTGAGATGGGCGCTAAATCGAGTACATATATATATATATATATATATATAT